TTTACTGTAGAATTTGAATTTACCTTGAATTTTTAACATTTCTAACTTGTCCGTGATGTTTACATAAACATCACCTTATGTGCAGTAGTATTAATGTATGTTGTAAAGCAGCGGTCCCCAACCTTTTTGGCACCAGGGACCAGGGCTCCTATGCGAATCTAATGCCCAATGACCTGAGGTGGAGCTAAGCGGTGATGCTGGTGCTGGGGTGTGGCTGCAAATACAGACGAAGCTTCACTAGCTCTCCCACCTGCCGCTCACCTCCTGCTGTGCAGCCAGGATCCTAACCATTAATGTATGTTGTAAAGCAGCGGTCCCCAATGTTTTTGGCACCAGGGACCAGGGTTTCTATGAGAATCTAATGCCCAATGACCTGAGGTGGAGCTAAGCGGTGATGCTGGTGCTGGGGTGTGGCTGCAAATACAGACGAAGCTTCACTAGCTCTCCCACCTGCCGCTCACCTCCTGCTGTGCAGCCAGGATCCTAACAGGCTAAGGACTGATCCGCAGCCCTGGGGTTGGGACCCCTCTTATGAAGATCTTTAAATAAGAAAAAAAATGTGGAAAAATCTATAAGGGGTAAAGCATGGCAAATATATTAATATTTTCCTATTTTGATTTTTTATTTTATATTTTCCAATGCATTTTGTATCATTGTTATATATACATATATTCACACATTTGCTGGTAAGCTTTTATATAAAATCAAATTTCTAACTTTGCATTTCTGAAAAATTTAATGTGATGATGAGAAATTATATACACATTACATCTTTAAGTTTACTTTCTTATGATCAGTTTAAGAATATCAAAATTATACATCACTTCTGGTTTGCCTTTGAAGTCTTTCCTATAGTAAAACATTTAATACTTAAGCTCTAATTTTCACTTTGTTTCACTCATAAGAATTTATAATTTTATTTTGCTATTTTATTTATTTACCATTTTTCAGATTTTTAATGGAAACATTTATCATATGGAATATGAGTCATTTTTATGTAGTAAACATAAGGCAAAGGAGACATCTGTAAATTAATTTATTTTGAGTAAAGAGTAGATACCCCTGGGAGCTAACCTTTAGGTTAATTAGAAAGTAAAAGGCAAATTACAGTCCAATGCACCTGACCCTGTCATGCTAAATACCATTCCCATATGCAGGGTGGCATTTAGTGAGTAGAAATTTATTCTTATCATGATGTCTCAAAAAGATCTTTCAGTCACAGACAGCATGTTTAACTGTATGGAACATGGCAATCCTTCTGTTTGTATATTTCATAAATACATCTAGATTTTTTTAAAAGACTGCAGTGTGTAGAACAGATCTCAAATAGTCAAGAATTGGTGCAAGAAAGCGCAGAAAGAGGCTATTACAGTAACGCAAATCAGAGATGATGTCAACTTAGACCAGCACGATGATGGGGGTGGAACAACCCGAACAGAGTCTAGACAAATTTAAATAGATAAAATTGAGAGGACTTAGTGGGATGAGGAAGAGAATGATTTCGAGGAGGACAGACAATCTAGTATAGTAGCTGAGCTCTACTTGGTTTTATGATCTAAGTCTGCCAGCTCTGCGACCTTGGGCAAGTCACTTAACTTCTCTAGGTCTTGTATCTTCATGTGTAAAGTGGGATAATAATAGTACTAATCTCATTGTGTTGTAAGAATAACAGGAAATAAACCATTTATTTGATTTCAACTTAAGATGGTGTTTATTACATCTTAAGCACACTATAAATGTTTGTAATTATGGTGATGGTAATGCTATTATCTTAGTTGGTTAATTGTGAAGAAGAACTAGGTTTCAGGGAGGAAATAATGAGTTTGGTTTTTAACATTTTGGGATTGGTGTTTTATTTAAGACATTTAAATTATGTTGAACAGACAATCTGATGAGTTGACCTAAAAGGAGCAGTCAGGGCTGAAGATAGGAGTTTGGTAGTCTGGTATATTTATATTCATTAAAACAATGAAAACATATGAGATTTCCTAAGGAGAAATATTACTGTGAGAAGGAACAAGTGCCTATGACAGAGTTTCAAGAAATTTCAGTTTTGAGGAAGGGTAAAGGAAAATAAACTGGCAAGGGAGACAGAGGAACAGGTAGAGATGTGGAAGAAAACCAGAAGAGTGAGATATCATGAAAACCCAATAAGAGTTTCCAGCAGAAAGGCGTGATCAACTCTTTTGGGTGCTGCTGTGAGGTCTGTAAAATCAAGACTAAAAAGTATTTGTTGGGTTTAGTAATGTGGAGGCTATTGATAATCATAGCAAGTGACTTTTGGATGGATTGAGGAGACAGAAACTAGATTAGAGTGGCTAAAGAAATGTACACAACTCTTTTTGAGTAGGTTGGCTGTGAAAATGGAGATGAGTTAGGGCAGTAGTTTAATTGAAAGGAGGATGAAGAAGCTTTTTTTTTGGTAAAGATGACTTGAAAATGAATAAATGTTAGTGGGAAAATTCCAGCAAAGCCTATTGTACAAGGTTTCTGAGAAGGCCTGAGGGATTGGAGTTCAGAAAAAGGAAGTTGGAAGGGAGACATTTATTCTATTATGAATGCAGAGAAAGAGAGGGCAAGCCAGATGCAAGTAGGTTTCTGCATTTGACAGTGAGACATTTGACTGCTGGCTTCTATTTTACTTGCGGAATAGGAGGCGAAGCTACCTGTGAAGAGTGAGAGGGAGCACTGAGAAGAGAATAGGAAAGGTTTTAAATTTTCTTATGGAGACAGAGCAGTTTGGTCAGAGAAACACAGTAGGGTAGAGAAGTGGCAAAGACACAGCAGTTGACGTTCATGATCATGAATGTAGGGAACCCAATCTCCTCTACTTTGTGTGTAATTCTTACCAACAATACTTGGCTGCTTAAGGGCAGGCAGGACACAGAGAAAGTAAATGGTTGGATTCATCCAAAATTGAAAGTTTGTTTAATAACTACCATTCAAAGAGAGACAAGAAAGAGAGTTTAGGGTTTTGTTAAGAAAGTTATTGATGTTGGTGATGGTTTCACGGGTGTATACTTATCCCCAAACTCACCGAGTTGTATATGTTAAATATGTACAACTTTTTACATGTCAACCACACCTCAATAAAGTGGCTTAAGGATGCCTAAAAAAGAAAGTTATTGCATTGATTTATTATGGAATCTAAATTGTAAAGGAACTAAAGAAAGGGAGGAACAATCTACTGGGAATAAATAGATGCCTCAGGGACCTAGACTTACCAACAGAGTTGGAGGACATCAGGGATAGAAGTAATTCAACAGCAAAGCCAGAAGCAGCAGCTGTGGAAAAGGAGCAGAATTCTTTGTTAAAAGAGTGGTAAGATGAGACCCTTTCTACCCTCAAGGAACTATAACATCAAGCATATACTGTAAGTATTCCCGTATTATCCTAACACAGGGCTTGCAAGGGAAATGACCAAAAATCAGTTTTAGACTCTAAAACTTAGTTTTGAAAACAAGAAGGCCAAGAGATAGTCTACCTTTGGAACAAGTTGTAATATGTTCCCTAACCACCTCTAACCTGTACCACCAATGTAGGGAGGAGCCTCTCGCTAACGTCAAGACAATGAGCTAGAGAAACCACCATTTGCAGAACTTGAGAATCTTTTTTCCAGACTTAGAAGGGATCGATGGACTAGTATTTGACACACACTTGAAAATTTTGAAAGTGAAGGTTATGTCTGAATCTCCTTACCTAATGGAGTTTTAGCTGCACTTCCACTGCCAACAGGGAAGAGGTGCCTGTTTCTCATGGACCAGTTGCTTTTGTCTTTTATCCAGAAAGTTCTATTCTTAAACAAAACAAAATAGTGATTTCCAAGATGGAGCCATTTGAGGATGTGCTGCTGTCCAGGATGGAGCTGTAGGACAGGGTGACTGAGGTAGAGCCGAGTTGAAGGTCTCTGGAAATGAGGTTAAAAAAATCTGTGAGGCCAGGATATATGAAGGGTTATTCACGAACATGTTATGATTATCCAGATGCTGACAGGATTTTGAGGATGGAAGAGTATTGTGTGCTGTGTGCAAGTGTCATCTTAAATAATAGCAGTGTGTGCCCAGGAGGTGAGACTATCATGGTCAAAAGAATGGAGAAAGAGATACACAAATTACATGAGCCTTAAAGAAAAGTAAATTTATTTTCATGATAGTAGAAGATTAATGTTCTGAAGGAGATAGTGGGGAACAAGGAGGACACTGACTCCATCTCTCTATGCTGAAGTATATGGGGTTAAGAACGTTCAATTTCAGAAGTGAT